CTGTTTTACCAGAGCCAGTTTCTGCCAGTCCAATTATATCTCTGCCTACAAGTAAGAGGAAGAAGGGCAAGAACTGTTACAATTCTATACTGAAGAGGACTTCAAGGAACTGTGCAAAAAGTACAAGAATTCACTAAGTACAAAAAGAACAGCCTCTGCAATAGCTCCTCAAAAAAAAAAAATACACAAAGGGTGAAGGAAAAGAAAGAACTTCAGAACATGTCTACAGAATTTTAAGAGTTTAATTTCATATGTACCATAGCAATAATTACAGTCCTGATTCCTTTCGTTCTTCAAATAGATTTCTGACAGTATACAAGTTTTCATACGTTTCACAAACCGCAATGTATTTGGTTCCATAGATTAAAACAGTAATCTAAACCTGCTTGCATCCAGCAAGGATTAAAACAGCAAGTCCTCTACGTACACACACACACAAAAAAACACCACATAGGCAGCAGAGTAGAATTCATCAGCAGGATCCATTCTAACTTCCTAAATCCCAACAGCTGAGAACATGCTGCCCACAGGCCTTAAACACAAAACCCAGGAATACAATTTTACTTTTGTTTTTGAAGAAAATATTATATATGGATTAAAAGAGCATGGCAACAGTTAAGTGCCAGGACAGACCAGACACTAAGTTTATTTCCACTTTTTAAACCAGCATCACTACATTAAACTGTCGCTGTGAATTCATGATGGATTATTTTTTCATATGAAATATTCCAGAGGTAAAAATATTTGCTGAATTTAATAATGTATTTTCCAGCAGTCCAGTATGATTATAGAAAGTCATAGTGGCTTCATTATTTCTTATTTCAGAACTCTAATTTCAAGGAATTGTCTGCTCACAACAAAGCAGATTACACAAGCTATGTAATCAGTCAAGGTATCTCCAATTTCAAACACAAATTGTAGATCTCTAACAGAAGATGAACAGTCCTACGTCTATCAAGAAGCATCCAGCATATCCCTGAGTACTTCAGAAAGACCATGGGCAAAGATGACTAGCAGCTCAAATAATTGAAAACAATTATATTTAAGATGGAGTGCCAGAACTATCCAACAGTAGCAAACACATAAGAACCCACACATTAATCTGAAAGTCTGAAATTGCAGGTAGTGTCACAGGGGAAATTAACATTTCAAGCTCCATCAGGAAAGGACATAAGAATGAACGCTGAAATTCCTTTTATACAGAAATCTTCCATGATGAAATGAGGATGCTTTCAGCCCTGTCAACAGTCAGCAAAGCTAACTCCCTCAGAGCTCCTGAGGCATCCATACCCATACCTGGGATCAGAGGAGCACGCTACTCACCTTGGAGAGCCACAGGAATAGCCTCAACTTGAATCTTTGTTGGTACCTTCCATCCTAACTGGTCACAAGCTTCACACAGGACATCTGTCACTCCCTGAATATTAGTGAAAAGAAGAAATGGAGACAAATATCATCAGGCAGCTCTAAATTAAGTCACTGACTTACATACATACTGCAACAGGACCACGCTTGTTTCTAACACAGCCAAATCCCATCAGGCCCTCAAATCACCTATATGTAAGCACGCTTTGCTCACAGAGATGCTCATTTCCACCAGGCCCATCCTAGATCTTTCCACACCCATTAGAAGTGACTGCCATCAGCAAGCGACTTCTCATTCCCCCCCGGTTTACACAAGCAACTTTCCCCACACAGACAGCTGCCTTCCTTCCTCCGCGAGCAAATAGCATTAGGACAGAAAAAAGGAAAACTCCGAGGCAAGTTGCTGCAACTGGAATAGGGGCAAGCGGCCGGGAGGCAGCACCCGGGGCAGCAACAGCCCCACAGCGGGCAGGGCCAGGCAGGGCAGCGCCACGCACGTGTCCTCCCCCAGCACCAGCAGCTCCCCCGGGGCCCTCGGGTTGGGGCAGGGAGCGGCAGCGGCTCCGGCCGCCCCTCACCAGCTCCTTGAAGCTCTGCGGTGCCGCAGCCGCCACCTCCTCGTCCTCCTCCTCCACCGGTGCCTCCACCGCCGCCTCCTGCTCGGCCGGGCGCCCCGGCGCCGCTCCCGCCGCCATTTTGTGCCGTCCCCCTCGTAGCGCGGCTCGCAGCACGCTGGGAGCTGTAGTGTGCCCCGGGGCGGCTGTGGGACTTGTAGTGCGGGGCGGGGCGGGACGGGACGGGGCAACGCGCAGGGCCGCAGGGCTGTGGGGAGGCTCTCGTGGTGCTTGGGCACCGTGTGTGTGGTGTGCAGGGCGCCCCGGCTCCTGAATCCTGCGGCTGTAGAGGAAGCAGGCAAATGAGCGAGCCAGTCCCCGAAGTGCACGCATGCAAGGAACAATTTAACATGCTCAGAGCTTCATTTTGGAGTACCAGTGTGGGGGAAAGAAACCACAAACGGCAAAAACTGTCATTGTTCTCCCTTGTTTTCATGTGCATGGTAGTTATCAAAGTGCCTGAAACGCAACAAAACACACCAAACTGTAGCGACAGAGCACAAAATGAGAGAACGGGCGTTGGGAATGGAAGATACCTCATGGCAGGGCGAGAGGGAACAGCCTCGAGTTGTGCCAGGGGAGGGTCAGGTTGGAAATGAAGAGACGTTTCTTTTCAGAAAGAGCAGCCAGGCACTGGGACGGGTTGCCCAGGAAGGCGGTGGTGTCACCATTCCTGGGGGTGTTCAAGGAAAGGTTGGGCCTGGTGCTTAGGGACATGGTTTAGTGGGTGACATTGGTGGTAGGGGGATGGTTGGACCAGATGGTCTTGAAGATCTCTTCCAACCTTAATGACTCTGTGATTCAAACACTCCCCCAGCTCTCTTTCGAGGCACTGTCACCACCCAGGCAGGCAGCCTGCAGGTGCACAGGGACAGGTGAGAATGGCGGGGGATGTGGTGCCCTTTGGGGGAAAGCGGTGCCAAAATTCCATGTCATGGCAGTCGTTCCTGAGCTCCCCCCCCCTTCCATCTGGTCTGTGTGTGCCCTCTGATCTGCAGTCCCAACACCAACTGCAGCAGGGCACTCTTGCAGCTAGGTGAATGTCCTTTACTTTAAGGAAGAATGGTGCTACAATATCAAAGGGCTTGGGCCTGAAAAGGACTGCAGAGCTGACTGCAAAACAGAACTCATAAACTGCATTTCTGAGCAGACCTCCATCTCTTGCCACTTGGGAAGCTTGTCTGGGTGTGCTCATAGTGGAAAAGCTGACGTACCTGAGCATCTGTCACTGGATTCCAAGTGTGCCATTTCCTCTGCTCCCAGAACAATGAGGAAAGTGAGAGGAAATCCGAACAAACTCTCTGCATGACAGGGAAAGGAGAGGAAGCCTGAAACAATTCACTGTGCAGCAGTGGAAATTAAACTGCTGCATCCCACTGTGATCAGGAGCAATTATTTAAAAAAAAATAATACCACAGCACCTGATGTAGATGATAGCTATGAAAATATGTTAACGAAAAATTATAAGGGTTTGAGCTATAAGCTTGCTGTATCTGAAGTGTAGGCCTGGAAAGTACGTAGACATGAACCCCTGTAAGGGTCACTGTGACACCTTGGGAAATGGAGTCAGGGATGTGATGGAAGTTTCTGATTCTTTGTTGAGTTTACTGCTCAGATAACATGACAGGTGCTGTTTTTTGGGGGCAAGGGGAGCAATTCGTTAGCTATTCTGGTAAGTTCCAGTTTAGGTGATTTCCTTGTGTACAGCCTCCCTTTAGTACAGGTATAATAGCAACTGTTTCAGAAGTGATGCATAATAAGACAAGATGTGTATAAGGGGTGATAGTTAATGCTAAATGGTCCAGTCCACTCATTGGGACGCACAGGGAGGCTATTAGAATATCCTCGCTTCCTGACTTTATACAGACACCTCTGTCATATATACTTTTTATTATGCTTTCAGAACGTACTATGGGATTTCATGTTAAAATGATAATTGCATTCCTACCTCATCACCGAATCAGTCCTCCCTGAAGCAGTTTCAGCAAAAGGGGAGTAAGGATGGCATGAGGAGGCCAGGACTCACAGCTACCAACCCAGGCTATTCATCAGCTCACACATACACACTTCTCTCCCCCACTTCCCAGCTGCTGAAGGAAGAGTTCAGCCAACAAACACATCTACAAATTTGAAGGACTAATAGCATAACTACTATTAAAAAAAGCTGCTGAGATAAGACAGCTCCCCTAAATGTTGCTTTTGACTCTAAGGGAGTCAAAATATTGCAACTAAGCCAATACTGGGGTATGTGCTCCACCCCAACCCTGCCCAGCCCTCCCTTTCCCCACCCTCTCCCCCCCCAAAAAAAAGAAAAAATAAATATTTTTTGCTTGTGTAGCTAAGAATGGAAGTAAAAGTATCTCTGATTTGTCCTCAGCTACTGAAGAGGTGGCTGTGATTGCGGTGCAGGACTGTGTTAAACAAACCAGCACTAAAGAAACTCTGAGCTGTCAAATTCAGATCTTTTTTTTAGATCTGTCTATTCAGATTTGTGTTGTTGTTCCTATGTTGTTCCCTGTGGTGGGACATGAACACAAAAGATGCATTGCCAGAAAAACTGGGGAGAGAGTAAAAGAAGAAATGAGTTACATAATTTTGTCTGTGATGACGAAAGCAGCCGTCTCAAAAGAACCTGGTGTTTATGGTATGGAGCTCTCTGGTGACATGCTGGAGCACTAAGAAAAATTCCACACCATGCCTGTCTTTGCACAGCATGCAGTTCACACTCCGAAAACACACTTATGTGCTCACATGTATGCACCTCGCAGCATCTGCATGTCAGAGACCAGCATGCACAGGGTACATGGGCTCATGTGCACGCCAGGATATGCAGTCACACAGATATAAATGCAGACATTCATACGTGAATGCCAGCTGGGTATCATGGAGTCAATGACCTCACTTTTCATTCTCCCCTTCTGAGCACATCCAGCTGCTCATACAGTGTCTGGAGCTGTGGGGTGAGGCAAGAGGCAGGAATGTGATCACATGCAGGTGTGCAGAGAGACACTGACACAAAAGTTCTTCATATTCTTTTAATCAAATTAACAATGTACTTGTTCATTTATGGCAAACAGACATGGGCATTACAGAAATCTGAGTCACATTCTATGGGACCAAAGCTTTTGTTTTATGTGCCAAAACAAAAGTGGGAGTCATGAAAGAAAGAGACAAGGTAAGGAAAAGTAGTCAAAATTTGTGAGATGGAGTGTTTCCCTTCCCACGATTTTCTTGGTGCTACAGAATTACAGATTAGCTCTTCTGATCATTTTGATTCATGTTTCTGCAGGAAGTTCCCCTGCGGATTGGGGTCTACCTGTGGAGGTGGAATTGTCGCTGTGTTAAGTCCTCTATCTGTCTCAAGCTAGTTTCCAGGGTGTCTTCCATGTACCTCTTCCAGGTACTGACATGATCCCCATCATCACTGCACTTGAGCACTTTGTGATATTTGTCCCAGAAATACCCCTGTGAGGTAGGGAAGTGCTACTATCCCCATTTTTACACAGGGAACTGAGGCACTGAGGGGCTGAAAATCACTAGGTACGTACTTAGCAGAACAGTCACTGGAAACTGGATCCCAAGTCATTCCTCCTGCTTCCTAAGGGCTCTGACCACTGAATCATCCTGCTCCTCTGCACCCCTCTTGATTATTAGTACCTGTGTATGTATTGTCAATGTGAAGCCTTCCACTGGAAGCACTGCTAAGAGTAAGTGTAGCTCTCCGCAGGCACTGCCTCCTCCCTTCCCAGACAAGTCACTGTGGGTTTCACAGGCTGTTTGACTGCACAGAGAGTGGCACCTCCATCTCTCAGATGTGCTCGCGTCAGTGCTAGGCTCCAGCTCGGACCAGTAACACAAGCCTACTCTTCCCTCCCTGCTCCAAAAGGTACACTTACTTTTCTCCCCAAGAGTCCCCCAAGGCAGTCTCTGGTCCCAGGGTCACTGACCAATCTTCCTCCCTATTTTGGTTCCTAAGATCTGTCTCTGATTAACCATAGTTCCCCATACTTTGTAACTACCATCTTTCAGGCCATGCTTTCCATTTCCTATAGGGGTTTGCCCTCCCTCACAGACAAAGATCATGTAACTTGCTCTCACATGCCACAGACTTGCTTTGCCTCTCAGAACTGCTGTATCACTTTGGAGCAGAGATGTCCTTTAAAAAAAAAAATAAATACAACATCAAACCCTAAAATTTTCCTCTGTAAATAAATAGAATACAAATATCACAGTTCTCAGCCAGGAAAGGTTTCTTTAAAACAGACAACAGTTTCTGGCCACTATATATTTTCACCCTGGGATGAAGAGCCATCCATACAGTCTATCATATCTGGGGCTGCTTGCTTCAACAGCCTTTCCAGATGTACCTTGGTAATGGGACTGTAATCTACTGGAAACTGTTGGCTGCTGGCTCTTTGAGGGTATCCCAGCCCCCTCACTGTTCATAGATTTGTGAATTATTTACAACCCAGGGTCAGTCAGCACCAAAACTGCAGGGATTTCATGGGTCTACTGACCAGCTCCTTTCTGCTGCCATGGGAAGGCAGAGTTAGGTGGCTGGGGAAACAGGACTGAGGAATGGCCACCTTCCCCTGTGATCAGACTCCATGTGTCCATCATAACCTGGTTTAATTATGGGGCAAACTCTTTCAGCTGGATGGTCTTGGGGTCTTGGTGGTGGTTTTAGCACCCAGGCTGTTTCCTCATCCGTGGGGAAAGCTGTGTCCTGGACTCAAGGAGTTCACAGACTTCATCCATTGCCCTGGTACAGGTCTCAAGGTTGGCAGCCAGCTTCTGGATTTTGGCCTTCAGCACGGCCTGGCTCACTTTTGTGACCTCCTTTGTATATTCTGGCACAAGGAAGCTGTGGGAGCCGCAGAAGACCAAGAAGCAGACGGAGTTGTACAGCGAAATGGAGGCCCTCTTCTCGGACTGGAGCAGTGCGGGGTCCCCTGGGCCCTGCCCCCGGCGGAGGAATTCCAGGCAGCCGAGGATTTCCCTCATCTGTTTCCGACAAGTCGTTGCAATTTCCTGCACCTTTCTCACCTCCCGGGAATTGCAGAGCACCAAGGAGAGATCAGAGGTGATATTGACAGCCCCCCCAGCAGTGGCTAGGCCCAAACCCACAGCTGATGCCAGGAGGGAGGCTCCCAGTGTAGCCGGGCTCAGGGACAGCCCCACGATGGCCGTGACTGCTCCCGCGGCGGTCAGCGAGCTCCCGCTGATGTTGGCAATCAGGGACCTTTTGCGGAGCTTGTTTATTTTACGAGCTGCCTTGTGGAGGTGAGCAATTTGACCACGCAGCCTTCGTCTCTGATCCAGCAGTGCTATATGGAAGTGGTGCGTGGGGTCCACTGTCTGGGGAAGGGCAGCACCGTTCCTCTCCATGGCCTCTGTCCAGAAATAGAAAAAGTTAAGTTGGGATTTACAGAAAAAAAAGACAAAAAAAAAAAGACATGCTCAGCCTGGACTTCCATTTCAGGGATGGCACCCAGCCAATTTTCTAGTTTCTCCCGGCTACTTGAAAGGTTGGCTGTCCGCACGCACGCATACGCTCACGTACACACACGCACGCACACACGTACACACGTGTATGTTCAATTACCGTATTCCAACTTTCAGACAGAGGAATTTTTAAATGTTTTTTCTTGATCCTTGAGAAGACTAAAGCATCTTAAGGACTGGCATCTGAGATACTGTTCTTGTTTCTGTGAGCACACAAAATATCTCTTCCTACCCTGGGAACAAAAATTTCCTTAAGATTAAGTGACTTGGTGTCCAATGCTGCCAGAACTAATAGGTACTGTCCCCACCATGGGATTCAGAGGATTTGCAATATTAAAGGGCATCCATCACAAGAAAGGACAGACTCTGAGGAGATCTCAGTAGTAGAAAAACCCCATTTTAGGACCAGCTAAGCAAAGCTGTTCATTAATGCAGCCATCTTTTCTAAGTATTCTGTACTGTGAACTGGAGGGTCCTGGCCCCTCACACTGGCACACTATGACTAGGTCCCCTGGTGAAGGGATGCAAGACACGGTCTCCTGATGGCTCTTGAACAGGAGACGTTTATTACCCTTTTTCACTTATTACCCTTTTTCACTTGTTACCCTTATTCACTTTTTAACATATACTGTCCCCGTAGCCCCACGTGCTGTCCATGCACCCGAATCTGTCATACAATTGGTTAGAGACCCTCAGACATGCCCCTCAGCCAGCCAGCCAGCCAGCAACTGGCCACTGCCCAAAGCTCATCTTTAACACTGTAGCCAATTTACGTTATCTCAACCTTGCTCAAGTGATGTGTGAAACAGCACGGAGCCACCTGCAAATTCCTTTCCCACACCCTGGGGCTTTCATTCTTCAGACTCCCTGTCTTCCAGAAGGAAGAAACCACCTACCAAAGAGTCTTTCCATCCTGAAGTGTGTAAATAAATTATTCTTGTTGCTTTTATTATTATTATTATTATTATTATTATTATTATTATTATTTTATTTTCCCTACTGCTTGTCCTAATCCATCTCACACAGAATCCTTTAGGGCCTCCCCTGTCTCCTGTGACTGTCAGAACAACATCCCATTCTCTCTGAGGCCCTTGGTATCATCAAGCTATTTGAGCCACTTGTGCTTTTCTTAGCTGGAGGCATTTTTAAATATGGCTCTAATCAGAGATGAAGCTGAAGGGAGAAGGACTAACACTAAGCTAAATAAATACTGGTGTCGAAATGAGCAATGAGCACATCATCAATGACTTAGCAACAGATCAATATCGTGATCATTAACTATATCAATTCCTGTAACATCTTAACAATTTGTTCTGCAGATTTTCTCTCTGAGAACACTCTAGTAATACCAGTAGCCATCTAACTGCACAGTTAGTAGAACAGTCATTCAATATATAGCCTCAGCCGTACAGTGAAACGTTTCTTTTGATTACACTGATTTATACCAGCATAAAAGAAAACCAAGACATCTCCTGTTTTTAGGGGAAAATCTCCCCAACAATATTTTTTTAAAAATTAATTTACTGTTATTAAGAAATTATAAATACAGTTTATTAATAAATTATTAATAAATATTAGCTTTAGAAATATTATTAAATACTGTGCACAATAGTCCCAAATCAGTTTCTAAAATGCACATGCTTTCCTAATGCAGGTCTCAAACAGATTCCAATGAAATACTGGTTCAAACTTACCTTTAGTTTCCAGCTGACCTCCCAACAGACAAATTTTGGTCTGTTTCTGGAGGAGACCAATTTATAGCTCCTGTGGACCAATTGCTGCAATGGGAATGCTTTGCCTCATACTGGGAGTTTGCCATTTCCTGCTCTCCCTTGTGCAGAAGGATGTGACACACTGGAAAGTGACCTGAGGGACAGCGAGCACACATCATGTTCAGGAAGCGATCCCTGCGAATGAACATTGTGTGTTCGCTTTTCCTGAAGTGTAGGGGGGAAAAAAATAATAATGAAAAAAATCTCGGCCTATTCCTGGTTCTGAGCTAGTGCAGTCATTCCCCCCAGGGAGCAGTTGCCTTTCCTTTCCCTGAAATAGCAACTGACTTTACTCTATGCTGGAGCCGCCAATTACTTGATGACTGAAGTTTCCCCCCACTCCACATCTAGAGCATCAGCCATTCAGCTACTTCATTCAAGGCCAGTGTACTTTTAAAATCCCGTCTCTTTGGGACGATGGTGCTTGTGACTGGCTGGAGTGCAGCAGTGCTGCGTGAGAGCTGGAGCGGTGCTCAGCCCATGTAAGGGAAGCAGCAAGTGGCAAGGTGATGGCTCTGGATTCACATCCCTGCCCCTTCCCAGTAGACAAAACTGTTGCTCTGTTTCTCAACCATGGGCACTGTTATTTTCCTAAACTGCATGCCCAGCAGTTGATGACCAGAAAGAAGGGGTCACTGGGATCTCCTCCTTTGCTGCCTGCTATTGCCTGGCAGCCGTGCCCACCTACTGATGTGGCCAGAAGGAGGAGATTGTCAGGGTGTTGGGGAGGAACAGTCTGAGTGACACTCCTGGTGCTGCCTTTCACACTGAGCCAGGGCCAGCTTGAATTAAAGACAGGAAAAGGAAATGACTGTTTGGTGGCACTAAGTGGTGCAGTTCACCTCGGACCAGAGTGGTGTGTGTCCCTCTTTACACAGGGCCTGCAGTGCCAGGGACATCCATTTCAAGCAGCTGTGCTGGAAGACAGCAAATGTATTTTCTTGCTTGGTGGTTTCTTCAGGACTGCTTGCCTCTCATTCTGCCTCAGGGTCCCCCAGGCATAGCTAATCTGAAAGCCACATAGTTTTTACTGAGTGGCAAGCCTTTACTGTTGAATCTGTGAAGTGTGTAGCCACACAGTTGCTGCAGCTGACCCAGAGAAGGGACAAAGACTGTGAAAGAGCAGGCAGGGAGAGGAGAAGGCTGGGGTTGCTCATTTCAGTGCAGCTTGGTTTTAGAACATCTTAAACTGACCATGAAACAGTATGTCAAGTGTTTTGTCATGGGCGGATGAAACTGGATATGAACAAAAAAAATCGATATCATTAAAAAGCTTCTACAACCTGTCACAGAATGGAAAGAGAAAACATTGTTTTGAAGATGCTTAAATAAGCAATCTTGGTCTGTTACACTTTGTACGTATTATATGTTAACAGGAAGATGACTTTTGACACTGAGGGAAATTGTGCCTTAGCCTTTCCTTTTGTTTTAGCAAAAATATGCTTGAATTGGAGCCCATCTGCTTTGGCAAAGGTTTGCAGTTGATAGACATGAGAGTTCTTTCACACATTCCCAACAGAAAAAGCTTTCTTGATGTAATTGCACCTGCATTGTGACTCGTCTTGGCATAGATTTTTTTGTTTGAACAGTGAGTTTGGAGAGGAAGGTGGAGGAGCGGAGGACGGAGAGGAGAGGAGAGGACGAGGAGAGGCAGAGGAGAGGAGAGGAGAGAGAGAGGAGAGAGAGAGGAGAGGAGAGGAGAGGAGAGGAGAGGAGGGAGAGGAGAGCGGCGAGGAAGGAGAGGAGAGGAGAGGGAGAGGAGAGGATGATGACAATATGACAACCAATGACAATGATAGGAGGAGGATGAGGAGGAAGACAAGTAAGATGAAAAAAAAGGAAGTGACGGATAGGGAGGGAAGGAGGGAAGGGACGGGAAGGGAAGGGCAGGAAGGAAGGGGAAGGGAAGGGAAGGAGGTTACGAAGGGACTTTCCTCCGGCTTTTCCGGGAAGGAGGGCCCCTCCGGGACGGGCCGGGAAGGAAGGGCCGCCGAGGGAGGGGGAAAAAAAAATTTGCCAAAACCACGGTTTCCCATTAAGTGCTACAAATAATATCAACTTGATTTTTAAAAGGAAATGTAAATTCAAATAAGAAACTTTATTTCCTATTGAGTCTTCCAACAGCAGTATGCTGTGGTCTGTTTCTGTTCCTGTTCACACCCTTACAAGCATCGCTTTGGTGTGAGCATTGGTCTTCACTCCCACAGAGAACACACCAGTGAAGGTAAGCTGGCAGGAGTGGGAGCAGAACCATCAAGGAACATCTCTGAACACCTCCCAGGGAGTGAAAGGCTTTCAGTGCCATTAGCACACCTGCAGATGTGAGCACATTTGCTGAGTCACCAGGCAGGTCCCAGGGACGCTGACTGAACCAGCTGCCAGAGACCTCAAGACTGTTGGGTCACGTCCGACCCTCCCTGGGCAGTCCTGCAAGCTAGTGGAGGCCCAGAGATCCTGCCGGCTGTACGTGTTCATCCAAGCCCCGCTGCTGCTGCTGCAGTCTCTTCATTCTTGGCTCATGAAGAGCTGGTGCTTGAGGGTGGAAGAGGTACAGCAGGCGTTTCACGATTACGCTGGCCAAAAATCATCCCTCTGCTCCACCCTTTCCCATCTAGCCTCATCCTCCTGAAATGTGCAGAAGCCAGACCCATGCAAAATCTGCCCTGAAGGCATTTTGAGAGAACAGATGACAAGCAAGAGGAAGGAAGGATGTTTTATGGCCTCAGCTCTCTTCCTTCCAGTGGATTTTGGCAGAAGTGACTGGACTTTCTGCTCTCGATCTCCCCGGCAGAAGGGATGTAGAGCAGAGTGAAACTGTTTTGATCTGCAGTGTAGCATTTGATGGTGGAGTTTCATAGATGCACTTCCTTTATTAATACTATTTTGATATAAAGTACATTCACATTTAAATGCCATCTTTTTAACAGGCATGGTTTGTCATGTTTGGTGCTTTTGACCTTAACTGCTGGATCCCAGGGTTAAAAATTTTCTCTTTTTTTCTCTCCCTCTCTCTCTTTTAGTAGAAAAGAGAGTTCTTCTCTTGCATCTTTCAGGTTAACCAGAAGTGCATTGCACAACTTTTGCAGCTACTTGAGAGAGATAACTCAATATTCATAACAATACACAGGGATTTAATTGAGAAATAACTTAGATAAGAGAACTAGCTATCAAATACAGTTATTGGAAGTGGAGTTATTTTAGATGGAGGCTGCACTGCAGGTCTGCATGTTAATTCCTTTCCAGTTTTACCAATTATGATGACTTTTGATAATACGTCTGGTGCTGTCCTTCAGCTTCAAAAACTGGAATTTCAGAAAGGGGAATTGGACTTGTGCTGGGATGGTCACAGTCATGTGTCAGAGTTTCATTCCTTCATCGTCAAAGATTTTATCCACAGTTCATAAAGAAACTGATGCTACATTTGAAGATCAATGAAATGTCGAGCAGTTTGCATTGTGATGAAAAACAAAATCCTAGACTCCTTTAAAATCTTCTGGTCTCCTCTCATTGTTTTGCAGGGTTTTTAAACACTTCCAAAACTTGGCAGATGTTGTTGTTTTGTTTACTTTCATATTAAAGTTTTACTACTAGGTTTAAGATTAAGCAGGAACCATTCTGTATGAAAATACATTATGATGAAAACAAAATAATGAAATTAATTATACTGATTAAATTCAGAATGAATTTGTCGCAACCTATTTCCTTTGTCAGTGAGCATGTTTATGAAAAAATAAAAATAAAAAAAATCTACAGCTAGGGGTGCAGTGCTACATCCCTCACCATTTCCTTGATGAAAAGGGCCTTCTTGCCCACAGATTTACCCAGTACCTTTTGACCCTGCTGATGCCAGCTGCCTCTACCACCTGCTGTGACAGCAAAGCCCAGAAGTTCTTGGTTACTCATGGTATAAAGTATTTTGTTTTGTTTGTTTTCAGCTAACATACCAGTTTCATAGAGTGAGCCTTGTTCTAGCAGTGTGGAATTTGGGAAAGAAGAGTTCTGCTTTTTCCCTACCCATGGCTTTGGTTATTATGCACTGCATGGTGTGTGGCACATGGCCCCCCTCATGCTCACGAGTGACAAGTTGTTAGTCACATCTTCTAGTATAGTGGAGGATGTGTACAAGCCAAACACATACAGAAGAACAGAGGACTTTGCTGAGAAACAACTGGGAATGCCAAGAAAACTCCTAGTAAGAAACAGTCTCCAGTGGGCACCTATAGCACCCAATGAATGCTTGGACGTGCATCCAACAAGGACTTGCCAACCCTGCTGCTGAGGGACCGGCTGCCTGCTGGCAGGCAGGACAGGAACAGGCAGGTCTGAGAAACTGGGGATGAGAGTGGCAGCTAGCTAAGCTACCCATGCAGTTGTGCTGGCTTGTGCTGCACCACGTCTCCAATTTTCCGTTCTCAAAATAAAATACCTCTGAGGTGATTCCTCTCGGCAACACATGAGGACTGGGAAAAATAATCAGAAATGTTCTGTCCTATTGCCAGTGTACTTAGACAGAGGAAGTAAGGGAAATACTTCCTTTCTGAAAGTCAGGCAGATATTTTGTATCTTTCTCAGCATCAGAAATTATTACATGCTCCTCAGGCCTGATGACAGAGTAGCTGTTGGTGACATAAAGTTCTCTGAAGGGAAATTTATGAAGAGAGGGGGGTTTAGGATGGCATGAAGGACATCCTGGTATGCTCATGAAGCCAACGACCAAATCTGTTACTGGGAGATCTGGCAAGAGCAAGTCACCACTCCTATAAGGCCCATGAGTCTGCATTTCCAGGAGAGAGGAAGGTGCCCTGGTACAGAGCCAGGATGTGATGGGGACTGGTACTTGGCATTTCTCCCAGGCCCTTGGTTCAGATGTGTGCTGTGCCCAAGCACTCTGCTGCCCAGTGTCCCCGAAGCCATTTGTTAATAGCACAGGGATGGTCAGCAGGTGTTCTTGGCCCAGGAGGATTTGTCCTGTTTCCTGACACCCTGGACAAATGATCACAACACGGGAGGGAGGAAAGGAAACCTGGGAAAGAGTGTACTTCCCTGCATCTGCAGGTACACCCTGCAAGATTAGCAGA